GCAGCCGGGCCGGCGGCCGCGCCCGGGACACTGGTGAGCGGCGCGGGGGTGGGGCTGGGGCGGGGGGAGCGGCGGAACACCGGGCCGGCTCCGCTCTGCCTGCGCTGAGCGCCGCCCTCGCCCCGCAGGTACCGGCTGAGCCCGCGCGGGGAGCGGCCCCGCGGCCGCGTGGGACTCGGCTGCCTCCTCCTGCCCGGCCGCGTCCTGCTGCTGGGCGGCGCCGACCCCGCCGGGGCCTTCGCGGACGCGCATTTCGTGGAGCTGGGTGAGGGCCGGGGCGGGGCGGCGCTGGAACCGGGCGCGGGTGGCGGATCGCGGGTCCCCGGTCCCGGTGCCATGGCTGTCCCCGCCCGCAGCCCCGCTCCGCTGGGTCCCCGCCGGCTGGCGCGGGCTCAGGCCGCGCTACGAGCACGCCACGTTCCTGCCCGCCACCGGCCCCCCGCGCCTGTGGGTGTTCGGCGGTGCCCACCCCGCCGGGAACCGCAGCTGCGTTCAGGTGCTGGACCCCGGTGAGTGCCCGGAACCGCAACCGGAGCGGGCCTGGCCTGYTGAGCCAACCCTGACCCAATGACGGGGTAGCCCCTGTTCCCGTGTTGGTTTTTCTTTGTTAATAGAATGTTTTAACTAGAAATAGGAACGTGGGAGAGCCCTGCGGTGCGGGGGGTGCAGCCACAAGCTCGCACATTCCACACGTCCTCGGCGGCCATCGGGRCCCGGCTGTTCGTGTTCGGCGGGGGCGACAAAGGAGCGGAGCCGGTGAAAGATCAGCGGCTGCACGTGTTCGACACAGGTACCTGAGAGCCATCTGTCCCCAGGGAGGGGTGGGAGCTTTGCCTTTGGGTCAGGCAGAGCRGTGGAAGTGTTGTGCTGTCTTTGGAGATGAATTCAGCTCAATGGGTGGCTGTTCTTCTCTTGACAAGCCCTCATGTTAATGCAGTCACTGGGAATTCAGACTTGCTTAGGAAGCCTCATCAGCACTCTGGGGTTGCTGGTCTGTAGAGATTCTAGAATTTTCTTCCTCATGCACACACACTCCCATTTTCAGCCACCCTGACCTGGTCCCAGCCCGACACTTTCGGTGATCCCCCTTCTCCTCGGCACGGACACGTGGTGGTGGCAGTTGGGACCAAACTCTTCATCCATGGGGGTTTAGCTGGAGATGTTTTTTACAATGACCTGTTCTGCATTGATACAAGTAAGTGTGSATGGAGGTACTGCAGAGCAGTACCTGTGTGGGATGTGCTTTGCTTTGGGGGGACTTTTTTTCTAAAATACCAGTTCTTAAGTGCTTAAAAGTGTATGGGGTTTGTGCAATGCATAACCATGTTCTTTTCTGCAACAGATGACATGAGATGGGTGAAGATCCTGGCCACTGGGGATGTCCCTGGAGGACGGGCATCCCATTCCTCGGCCGTGTTCAAGGACCACTTGTACATTTTTGGTGGAATGGGTCCAGAAGGGACACTGGACACGATGTACAAGTATCACACAGGTAGGGAGGCTGCTCTCAGGGGTGCCAGGGGAGATGCCAGGCAGCTGTGGAGCACAGGACCTGCTCAAACCCTGGGCTTGTTCCCCCTGGAGTTACACCACTGCAGAACTAAATGCTCAGAACTGTGTGATTAATGATGTCACTGTTTGGTGTGTGACACTTAAAGCTGTGACTGTCTCTTTGCTCTGCAGGAAGGCAGCACTGGACCCTCCTGCAGTTTGAGTCCCCTGTGCCCAGCGGGAGGCTGGACCATGCCATGTGTGTCATTCCCTGGCGGGCTGGGCCAGATGGGGACACAGGAGCCACCCCAGCTGGGACAGAGGCACCCCTGGCAGCAGGGGACAGAGCTGAGGGCTGTGCTGAGGACACCTCTGTCCATCTGCTGTTGGTGTTTGGGGGAATGGACACGCAAGGGCAGATCCACAGGGACTGCCTGGTCACCCTCATTGAGTAGTGTCCCCACAGCCCCAGCCTCATCCCACGGGGTTGATTCTGTCCCTTAAACACATCCTGAACCTTGGCCAGCTGGCAGGTGCTGCTACCCCAAGGGACAGGGGCTGTGCCTGAACAGGGTCCTGCTGCAGCCCCAGCCCACGGAACAGGGCAAGAGCMGAGTTGTTTAAAAGCACTGCTGGAGCTGGCACCTCACAGGTTCATTCTGGACTCAAATAAGCCATGGGTTGGATAAGGATCAGTTAAATAAAGAGACCAAGCTTCAATCAGGCTTCTTTTTTTTTAATAAGAACCTTAATTAGGCATAAACTACTTTCCAGCCTTGAAAAACGGGTCTGTTTCATATGACACTTTATTAAAGCTCTGAAGTTTTAATACTGCAGCAAAACATAATTAAGCAAACCTCATCCCTCACTGCTGTGCACATTCACTAGTGCTGGCACTGGGTTCTGATGGATAACCCCTCTCCAGCTCAATGCAAGCTGCCCCTCTGCAGTTCCTCAGGATTGACCCTTTCCTTATCAGGATCTGTTAGATCAGAATGGCAGTGAGGTCAAAGGGCAGAAATGGAGTCCCAGCTCACCCCAAGGCAACAGAGGCTCAAACTCCTGCTTTCAAACATACCCCACTCCTCTATGAGTCCAGGAAAGGTAACCTTGAGGGGGTGAGCTGCCCTGCCATGCTTTAGGGTTAATCCAGATCGGCCTGGAGCTGGGTAACAAATCACAGAAGTAGAAGACAGTCCAGTGTAAATAACAAATTTATTGTGGTCACTCCAGGTAGAAAAGCTCTACACCAAGTTCACATGACCAAGTTGTTCAACAGAATGTTCCACTGCCAATACTTCTAACCCCACATTTACACTCCCACCCCACTCCCTTCCCCAGACATCAAGCAACTGCTAACGAAAAGCAGGATACAGCCACGTCGGGCTAGCGGTTCCAGCTCCACTCACGAGTGAAGATTCAAAGTTACATTCCAAATTAAGAGTTCAATATTTTAAACAAGTGTTCCTGAGTCCAATATATACACACACCACATTCGGAGATGCCGTTATCTACAACTCATCCTTCTCTGCTGCCTCCTCCTCTCCGGGCGGGGGGCCGGCGCTGCCGTACAGCTTGCTGACGATGGGCTGAACCACCTCCTCCAGCTCCTTCTTTTGTGCTTTGAAATCTTCTATGTCCCCATCCTGATGGCTTTCCAGCCACTCGATCTTTTCCTCCACTGCTTTCTCTATTGTTTCCTTGTCCTCAGAGGACAGTTTCCCACCTAGCTTCTCCTTGTCCCCGATCTGATTCTTCAGGGAATAGGCGTAGCTTTCCAGCTCATTCCGGGCATCGATGCGTTCCTTAAGCTTCTTGTCTTCCTCTGCAAACTTCTCAGCATCATTGACCATCCTCTCGATCTCCTCTGGGGTCAGCCTGTTCTGATCGTTTGTGATGGTGATCTTGTTCTTGTTCCCGGTGCCCTTGTCCTCGGCTGTGACACGCAGGATCCCGTTCACATCTATTTCAAAGGTGACCTCGATCTGGGGGACACCACGAGGGGCAGGAGGGATTCCTGTCAGGTCGAATGTGCCCAGGAGATGGTTGTCCTTGGTGAGGGGACGCTCACCTGCAAGAAACAATGACACAGGGTTACTTTCTTTCACAGCTGTGGCTTGTGCTTTGAACTGCGTCACTTGTGGTTTCACAATCTACAAAGTACCTACAGCCTTTGTCTCAAGAAAGGAAACCCCATGGACAGATTCCAGCTGTCACATGGGCCACCATAGGTGACACCCACCTTCATAAACCTTGATGGTCACAGTTGGTTGGTTGTCAGAAGCTGTGGAGAATATCTGAGACTTCTTTGTGGGAACAACGGTGTTTCTTGGGATCAGCTTGGTCATGACMCCTCCGACAGTCTCAATGCCAAGAGTCAGGGGACACACATCGAGCAGCACCAGGTCACCTGGAACAGATCAGAGGCAGGACTGTGACACAACTGCAACACAAATCACAGCATCCCAACAGTGCAGACAGGATCCTGAGGCYTTAGGGCCTGGAAAAGATCCAGGTTCCTCTGCATTTGCTTGTCAGTGGCCAACATCCCCTGTTCAGTCAGCTCTCAGGTGGCAGTGAGGGTGTCCTTACCTGTGTCCTGGTCCCCAGAGAGCACYCCAGCCTGGACAGCTGCACCGTAGGCCACAGCCTCATCTGGATTAATGCCACGAGAAGGCTCCTTCCCATTGAAGAACTCTTTAACGAGCTGCTGGATTTTGGGGATGCGAGTGGATCCACCAACAAGGACAATCTCGTCTATATCAGACTTCTTCAGGTCAGAATCCTCCAGGACTTTCTGTACAGGCTTCATAGTGGAACGGAACAGATCCTGGAAAGACAAAACCACAGGAATTGAGAGATTGTATTCCCAGTGTGCCCCATTGTGCAACCCTGGGGGTACAAAGTACAACCACTACAAGGTAGAAATGCCAAAATGGCAGCCTCAGCAAGACCCAGCTCCCTGGCAGGCAACAGCTGCCTGCTCACACAGAGTTATTTATACTCCAAAATGCAGTGTCACAGCATGAGATGCTGCACATTCCCAAGTCCCAATCCAGAGCTGAGGCTATGTAACTTTACCTTTCTAAACTTACCATGTTGAGCTCCTCAAACTTGGCTCGAGTGAGTGTCTCCGAAAAATCTTCTCCTTCAAAGAAGGATTCTATTTCAATCCTGGCCTGGTGCTGAGATGACAGGGCTCGCTTGGCCTTCTCCACCTCCCGTCTCAGCTTCTGCACAGCTCTRTTATCCTTCCTAACATCTTTGCCAGTTTTCTTCTTGTACAGCTTGATGAAATGCTCCATAACACGCTGGTCAAAGTCTTCTCCACCCAGGTGAGTGTCACCATTAGTAGCCACAACTTCAAAGACTCCGTTATCAATCGTGAGAAGGGAAACATCAAAAGTTCCCCCACCCAGGTCGAACACAAGGATGTTCTTCTCTCCCTCTCTCTTGTCCAGTCCATAAGCAATGGCAGCAGCAGTTCTGTAGCAGGAACAGCCTGTCAGAGCTGGGGTGGCACCCWCCCCTCCCCTCCCCTCGGGCTGCAGAGGGTGAGCTACTCACGGCTCGTTGATGATGCGCATCACGTTGAGCCCCGCGATGGTGCCCGCGTCCTTGGTGGCCTGGCGCTGGGCATCGTTGAAATAGGCTGGCACCGTGACAACGGCGTGGGTCACCTGAGCAGGGAGAGAGGCACAGCTTCGTTATAGAAACGAGACAAAAAAACACTTTATAAATACACCAGCTGCTCTGAGCAGTGCTGGGAACAAACAGCTCATCTTTAGAGATGAGCTACACCCATTTAACAGGGCTGCTGTGAGAGTCTGCAGCACAGAATGGGGTTCAGGATGGCAAGGTTAGTCCTGACTCAGCCTACCCTTCTCCCACTGCCTAAATCTGCTGCTTTGAGTTGCTACCAGTGAYTTCCACACACTTACTTTCTTCCCCAAGTAAGCCTCTGCTGTTTCCTTCATCTTTGTCAGGACCATTGCAGAAATTTCTTCAGGAGCAAAGGTTTTTGTCTGTCCACCTCCAACATCAACCTGAATATGGGGCTTGGCTTTCTTCTCAACCACCTGAGGAGAACAAGGGATATGGTCCCATTCAGCTATTCCAATTTGTTCCAGTGGCTCTTTCTGAACATCAAGCAAAGCCTCWGTGAYAGGCATAACACTGGGAACTATTGTTTMCACACCAGTCCTCCCAGGGGGCACTGTGAACAGATGCCTCCTCTGACCAGAACTGTATTTCCTCCCCCCACCTCTGCACTCGGGGCCCACCTTGAAGGGCAGGTACTTGATGTCCTGCTGCACAGAGGGGTCGTTCCAGGTACGGCCGATGAGCCGCTTGGCATCGAACACTGTGTTCTCGGGGTTGGATGTGAGCTGGTTCTTGGCAGCATCCCCGATCAGGCGCTCCCCCTCGGGGGTGAATGCCACATAGGATGGTGTGATGCGGTTCCCCTGGTCATTGGCGATGATTTCCACGCGCCCGTTCTTGAAGACGCCCACGCTGGGGGGGATGATTGGAACGGTCACGTCCTGCACAAGTCCCCACCTCCCGTTCTGCTCCCCCCCGCGCCCTCCCGGGTCCCGCAGCCACTGCCCCGCACCCCCCGCGGGCCCACAGGCCTTGCTCAGGCCCAGCACTGCCCAGGAGAGCGGCCACCCCCGCTTTTTCCCCGGTAGCCCAGCACTGCCCGCAGGCCCCGGCCATCATTCCAGCCATCCCCCCGTACCCGCTCCCCACGTACCACGAGTAGGTGGTGCCCAGGTCGATGCCCACCACCGTGCCCACATCTTCCTTTTTCTCCTCGTCGTCCGCCCAGACGGCTCCCAGCGCCAGCAGCGTTACCAGTAGAAGCTTCATGCTGACCGCTCACCTGCGCCCACCTGCCGAGAGGCCGCCGGTTACACAACGGAGCGCCACGTGCGCGGCCGCCCCCCCTCAGCCTTCCCCGCGCCGCAACCGCCCTTACCGTGCCCCCCGCAACGTATATAATCACCCCGCCGTTCCCACTCGTTCTGCCCGTGCCCGTATCCGCCATCCCCCCCATCACCGGCCCAGCCCGACGCCGCCCTTACCGCGCCCGACCGTCACGGACCAGCACCGCCGCGCCCCGATCGCCGCTGAGCCACCAGGCCGCGCCGCCCGCCCTTTTATACCTTCCGTTACCCCTTCGTGGAGCCTCCCCATTGGCTGCCGCGCCCTCGCTGGAGCCTCTCYATTGGCCGGCTGCTACCAAGCTGGCCACCCGCGATTGGCGAGCGCCTCGCGGCGTGCCCGGCGCGCCCCCCTCGCGCCGCCCCATTGGTTGCACCCGCCGGCCGCGGCCACAGAGAAGCGTGAGCCAAGCGGAGCGTCCCCATTGGCTGGGCGGCACCACCGCCGCCGTGCAGGGGGGGCACTTCTGGAAGTTTCCATGGTTACCGGCCCGGGGGGGAATAACCCGGCGGTGTCGGGGGGCGCCGCCGCTTCCCGGGGGCACCGGGGGTACGGGCGGTACCGACGGGAACCGGGCACTGCCGGGAGGGAGGTGCGGGRAGCTTGGAGCCGGGCCGGCACCATGGCTGGGCCCTGCGGGGTCTCCGGGCAGAGCCCCGTCCCSCACCGTCGGGGGGGAGGTGACACGAGTGTGCCCAGCGCCCCGAGGCGACACCGGGACCCGTCCCCGTCCCCAAGCAGCCGTTGCCCGTGCCGCCGCTGCCGGCGGGTCGTGAGGCCCCGCCATGTCGCGACACCGAGCCCCGCACACACAAGCAGGGGCCGGGCGGAGCGGGGACTGATGGTGGAGCCGAGCTCCGGGAGCGGCCCCAGCTCCGCCCGGTGCCGGCCCTCGCCCCGCTCCGCCTCACCCCGGCCCCGCTCCCGCTGCCCGGGCCGGCCCCGGGACTACAAGTCCCAGGAGCGCCGTGGCCGCCTGCGCAGTGCCGCGCCCGCCCGGGCCGCAGCGGGAGCCGCCGGGGCGCTGGCCGGGTAGGGACACGCTCGGATCCCGCGACAGCGCTCGGTTCCTCCCGAGGAGCAGCGGGTGCAGGAGGAGGGAGCGCTGCGAGCAGGAGGAAGGCCCGGGGCCTGACAGAACGCTTTGGTTTTTGCAGGGAAGCSAGAGGGAAGGCGGGCAGCCCAGGAGAGCCGGAGCCGAGGAGGGTATGTCGGGTGGGTTGATCGCGACAGAGCGAGCGCCCGGGAGGCGGGGGAAGCGGGGCCGGAGAAGTTGTTGGTGGGGTTTGCTCGGGGTTCGGCCGTGCCCTTGTCCCCCTGCCCGGCGGGCTCTGGGCACCGGCGGTCCCTTTGCGGGGCTGTTGGAACCCTGGAGCCCTTGGCAGCGGGGCCCTGGCGGCTCCGGGAGCCGCTCGCTGCCCTGGCTCCTTCACGGAGCTCCTTCCTTTTGTGTGGTGCAGGTTTAAAACTTGAAACTTGACGAGTRTGGTGACTTCCCTTTTTGGTTACTCACAGACCCCTAACGCTGGAGAACTCGATCCAGGGAATATCGGGCTTTTTTTTTCTTGCAAAGTCATGATACCGCGCTCCTGAGAGCTGTTGGGATGGAGCTCTCGGAGCGAGCATGTGACACTACACTTAGTGATAGGTAAAGTGCTATTTTGGTGGACCATGCAGTTGACTCACAAGTAGAAGCTGCAATTTGAAGAGGATGGAGGGGAAATGGCATGGAAGTCTGAAATACTCTGTAAAAGCAGCAGGAGGGTGGCTTCAGGAAACAGACTTGCTGCTGAGGTGGGTTCCAAAATATTTAAGATGCTCCACACATGGATTTTGAGTAAGTTTTATCAGGTCCTGGAGAATATACTCTCCTCAGCAGCAGCTGCCCTTCCTGGATGGAAGGGAAATGAGCTGCTCTCAGGAAAACAGGCTGGGAACAGGTTGGTTTTGTCAGTCTGAGCAGCTTCAAGTTCTGCACTTGTTCTGACTAAAAGTTTATTAGTGTGACCCTTATGGGAACGAGCTCCACTTTGTAGCATCATAAGCAACTGGAATAGATTTTAGCCTGGTTATGTGCTTTTGTTCATTTTATGCAACATGCTAATGCCATAATAGATAATGTAGTGGCCATTTGATCCTGGGCTTTGCTGATAAGTTCTTTTATGGGGCACGAGAAATGAGGTGCTCCTTGCTCATGGATGGAGAGTGTCCATGGCTAGCTGAGAGCACCTCTAGGCAGAAACAAATGTAAGGGATGAGTTTCTTATTAATGCTAATTAGACAGGAGAACTGCATTTTCTGTGTCACACGTGTTGGAGCTGGTGGGTGCTGTAAYGGGAGGGTTCAGCATGAGCCCTGGGTCATGGTGAACCATCCTGGTGAAAAAAAGAGCTTTTTCAGTTCAACTGTAGGAGACAGGCAGTTAGCTTGTATAAAGAAATAAGGCTTGTGAGATGGTACTGTAAATGCTAATGAGGAAAGAGGTACTTCATCAGGGCTGAATTAGCTTGGAAGCCATTCAGGCTTGCTTAGGAGTTATTTTTCAGCAGGATGGAGTGATTCTGCCTTGCCCTGCCCTGCCTATGTTAGATCTGCCCAAACTTGCTCTGGAAGTTGTCTTGCATTGCGAGACTCAGGAGGAGCAACTAACCCTGAGCAGGAAACACGGGAGGAGGAGGAAGGATCTGGTGTACCAGCAGCTTTTACCACTTCACTTAATCTCTTTTCTGTCAGCTGAATCACAGAAATACTCAACAGAGATGTGCTTCATTCCTGTATGTCCCAGGACAAACCCATGGATTTTGTAAGGTGCAGTTCAGCACCTAAAGATTCAATGTCATGATTTCCAGAACTTTTAAGACTAGGAAGCAATCTATGTCCTGTGTTCATCAAAGAATAGACTGCCTTGGGTTCTGAACAAATGTGTGCTGCCAGCAGGGCAAGGCATCTTGGATGCTGTCAGGTCATGCAGTCTTTGTTGTTGATATGTGGAGCATCATGAAGGGAAATCGTTGGAGTTGTTGTGCTAAGCTGCTCTTACYGTGTCACAGTTACTTGTAGTTACTGAGTAGTCTTGAAATAACTGGCAGAAAATGGAAATGTTTTCATATCAACATGAAATTCCAGGATTGGAAAGTAATCWGMAYKTARCACWRTGTTAAATATCTGCTGCTCCTTCAGCCACAGCAGACTGTTGGATATCTAAATATCTTAAACTGACTCTTTTATACAGCTGTGTGCAGATATCTGCTATTCTGAGTGTGGTGCGTGGCAGTCATAAACCAGGCTGCTGGAGAATTACAGGCACCTATGTGTTTATGAGCAGCTGATAAGGTAATCTGACAAAGGAGGTTCTGGAATTAGCAGAGGCCTGATCTGCTCCCTCTGCTCTGGACCTGTTCTGTGCTGTGTCACAAAACACTGGCTGYGCTCCTGAAGCTTTGGCCCAAGTGCTGGCCCAGGGTCATGCTTGTGGAGCCTGGGCAGAGGATGCARCTGCTGTTTTTTCCTGTTGTAAAAGGAAGAGATTTTGGGGAGGAGCAGTTTGTGTCAGGTAGGTGTGTTAGTGGTACAGTTGTTTCTCCTTTCAGGACAGGCTGTGTTGGTAACACCAGTGTCTGAGTAGAGGAATAGCACATGCATCTTTCTCAGCTGGGATTTTTGGGTTTTCTTTACTGAGCCTGGCTGAAATCCCCTGTGTGTTAAACTGCTGCTTTACATCTCTGTGTTGTCAGGTGTCTGCCAGAGGCCTCAGGTGAAGATGAAGTTGTTTGTGCTGTTGCTTGCTGTGCATKTGTGGCTTCAGAATAATTCATTTAAAAACCGGTGGAAGGCAGTGATGAGGTGTTCCCCTCTCTCTGCAGCAATCCTTGCAGTSGAGTCACTGATTTTTATGGAGGTTACCAAGCTGGGGAAGCTGCTGATCCCATTTTCTTACACRTAGGGTGAAAGCTGCTGTCATGGTTATCTTCCTGTGGATTGACATGAAAATCCTGCAGCTTTTCAAAGTTCTTGACAAAGCAGTGGTACACAGTAACCTGCTGTGGCTCAGTGCTGAAGCAATTCTCCTCTCACTTTCATTATTTCTGACATCCTGARGCTGAGGCAGATAAGACACACATGTGGGTAGTCAGCAGCTGATGGGATTTTATCAGGTGGTCACAGGACCAGTATATTTAGCAGTGCGGATGCAGCTAAGGGTGCTCTTTGGTGCCTTGTCTTGGAGTTCACAGAGGCAATTAGTTTAAAAGCAAAAATCAGCATGCACAGCAGTTGGCAACTTCCCACAGCTTCTTGGGGCCAGAAGGGGTCTTCTCTTCCTTCCCAAACTTGCTTGGAAGCAGGAGATCCACTTGGACTTTCTGTCCAGAAGAGTGGAGACTGCATCAATACCCTGAAGTGGAAAATGCCAACTAAAAACTGTTCAGGTTTGATCAAGTATGAGCCRCTCTTGAGCACAGCCCTACAGTGGGAAGCTATGAGAAGCCAGAAGGTAGCTCTTCAGGTCTTGTTTGTTTGTGTTTTTATAGATTCAACTTTTYTTTTTTTCCTGGCTGATAGCAGTAGCTCCCAGCCTAAAAACTGGTTATTACGATGTTTAAAGCCAGTARCAAGTTTACTGCTGTTTTTATTTTACAAGCTCTTAAATTCTGAGACTAAAAATAAATTTGTTGCAAGAAGTTGTTACTTGTTTCACAAAGAACTTTGTCAGTAGCAGCAATGTTTCTTCTTKTAATCATTTCTCTGAGACTGTTCTAGTTAAAAACATCTGAATTACAATGTCCTTCAAGTTCTTGTCATAATCTCATTCTTGGATGTATCAACTGTTAACCTCTGGTTAGGGTTGCTGAATTTGGTTTGGGGTCTTTTTGATTTTAGGGTTTTCTTTTAAAGAGCTTTATATGCAGTTGTCTGTGTTTGCTAGGAGTGGCCTTTAAACCATCAGGTGTAATAAAATTGCAATTTTTTTAATGCATAAAGACTTGTGACAGTTTTGCTGTTCATCTCTGCCTGGCTTCTGGTTGTGAGGTTAAAACTATAGATGAGAGAGTTAATTACACCAGGAGCAGTGATGGTTGTCACCTGGCTATCAGGCTGCAAAAACCCCAACAAATGGGAAACCTGTGCCTAATTAGGGAGCTAATCTGTATTCTTCAACAAAAATCACCTGCTGCTCTGCTGAGCAGTGAGACACAGATCTTTAAAACTCTAGCAGGGGAGAGCACTGGGCCAGCACGTGGCATTCGAGCACATTATTTATAGTTTCTCAAGCATGGTCTAAATGGGTTTGTGAAGCCAGGCTTGTCCAGAGTCACTGCAGGTTGTGGGAAGGAAGTTTTTATTTTGGCTGCAGTTTGGCTTTGAAGGGCTCCTCAGTGGAGCTCTCTGATGATCTGTTACAGATCATTGCTGCATCAAACCCTTGTCCTTCCCAAATTAGCTGGGGTGGCTGTTAGTTCTTGTGGGGAAGACATAAAGCAGCTAACCATCAATTCTATGATCTACATAACTATACCCCTTCCTGTGTCACTATTGATACAGTTGATGGGTTTCCTTCCTCCCATCCCAAAGAGCTAATTTTAAGATGGATTAGCTCCTGGAATGTGTCTTGACTGGCGCAGTATTCTGCTGAGATGTTTTGTAGTTGCAAAGTTAGAGCTGATGTTACAGTCAGACAGAGCAGTAGTTTGTGTATATTTTAGCCCCTGATGAAAGCTTATGGTTGTTTCAGTTTTTCTCTCTATAAAACAACATTTTTGAATCATGGCCCAAAGAAATATTCTTCTGAATTGACATATTTGAGGATTTTTTATGAATGAATTCTACTGTTGAGCAAGGTCTCCAGACTTCTGCCGTATCTGGGTATTTCTATTCCTTGGTTTTTGGTTTGATTTTTTTTTCTTATTGATTAGTAATATTTTTTTTAGCAGAAAAGAGCAGTATTGGGAGCTACTGGTGCATAGGCCAGAAATTACAACACCCCAGTCTTTSGGTAGTGCTGAGTTATGTGGATGAGCTTTAGGATGAAGGAGTAAGTGCCTGTTCCTCAGACAGTGAGAGGGAACAGGAGTGGTTGTCATCTCCCTGAACTRTGGCAAGGGCCACCTGTCCCCAGGGCAAGGCCAGCTCCCAGCTCGTGTGCCTGAGTGCTGTGCTGTGCTCCTGTTCTCCAGGGGAGCTGAAAATGCTGTTTGCTTCTCTGCCAGCTCCCTGATGTGTGACAGAGCAATGGAGCTGGCACTGGGAAGTGTTGCATTAGGAGGGTGACTCAGTCAGTGGTTGAGGGGYGGATTTGAGGGGAGGACACTCAGCATTCCCTGCCGCTGTTCCCCGCAGGATCCGACCCCTCCGTTGTGTGGCCCAGGGCCCGCTGTGGCAGCCACCCSCTGCCCACCATGGTGAAGCTGGACATCCACACCCTGGCCCATCACCTGAAGCAGGAGAGGCTCTACGTCACCTCGGAGAAGCAGCTGATCCAGAGGCTCAACGCCGACGTGCTCAAGACGGCCGAGCGGCTGTACCGCACYGCCTGGATCTCCAAACAGCAGCGCATCAACCTCGACAGGCTCATCATCACCAGGTGAGGSTGRGGRMATGKCCYRGCTTAGCTGASTATTGCATTCCWTATGTTAGAGGACAGTTAAACAACCCTTCTGGAACTATGCATTACTCGAGACTGCTCTGGTTTGTTTGGTGATGTTCCTCCCTTCAAGGACTCCCCCGGGGCTCTTGGGGATCAGCGGCCTGCTCTCTGGGACTGCTCCTTTTTTCTCCCTTTCTTTGGACTTGTTTTTTCCTCGAATTTTTTTTT